AATAAGAAGGGGACATTCTAAAAATAGTAACATCAGTGGTGGACATCACCATGGGAAAGTTGTAGATCACTTGAATATCACTACACTTGCTTGAAAAACACAATTAAGATAACTGAAATACTCATTTGAAAGACACTTGCCAAAAAAGAAAAGAGATGTAAAATCAGGTTTCAAACAAAAAATGATGAAAATTAAAGAACTCAAAATAATAATTTTCATACTTATATAAAAAACCCTTAAATTCTGACACATACACATACCTCCAGCTCAATTTGGCAGACTGTTTAAACAGGATACCATCTGGGAACTTGACTGCTGAGAAATGAGTTTACAGTATTGCCAGAAAAATCAAGCGCCCTTTTGAAGCTTTTTAAAGAACACTTACACCCTTCATGTATCATTTTGAGCCTCCTCTATTTTCATGATAGAAAGATGCTAACATTAATTTTTACTTGCAACTACATTCCTTTGGCAACTAGCATATGTAAAAATAACAGATCCTTGATTTCTTCTTCAATACACTAAAAAGAAAAAGAACCAGTCAATAACAATATCTATTCAATGTTGCATTTTAAACTGAAAATACCAACATTCTAAATAATAAAGCAGTAAGCCTACATTAGAAAATAATTTCTTTGCATTATTGAAATACTGTATTCAAAAGCATTGCCACCCTATAATTATAACATGAACAGAATGTATCTGAAGAAGTGCTAAAAAAAAAAAAACTAGATGAAAATGGTAAGGGGGTGGAAAGAAGAAACATGTTTACAATCTGTTCAGAATTTTCAACTAAAAAATTTTTTTATAAAAACTGGTTAGAGGATTGGCTTAAATACAAAGTAAAATCTTTAATATTGAGCCCTACTTTTCTGCTAGTGTCAAGTCCTCTAACACAGGGCCTCCAGGCTATCTGATAAGTTACTGTCTTTCTACACCACAGTCACCACAAAGACCGTGACATTTGCCTGGGGGATGGAGGGGAGGACACCACTAGTTATTCACACTGGTAATCCTAGTTACACAGAAAGCAGAAAGATTTGAGGATCTCAGTACAAAGTCAGCCCAGGAAAGAAAGTGCAAGAGACTTTTATCTCAATTAACCATCACCATCAAAACAACAATAACAACAACAACAAGAGATCATTATCTCTAATCAGCAAATGCCAGAGATAGAGGTGTGGATCAAGTGGTAGAGTGCCAGCAAAGAAGTTATGGAACAATGCAGGCCCTGTGTTCAAGCCCCAGTACTCTTTCTCTCAAACACCCAGATCATGACATCTGCTACCACAGCTCCCCAGTGTGCTATGGCATGCTAGTAGAGTCAATGTGCTTGTTCCCAACAGCTTTTTACAGAAGCTATGTGCACTCAGACACCACCTATTCTCTATGAATCAAGCATGCTCAGTGTAGTATGGATACTTAATAAATGCTTATGATGATTTGGCAAACTGAAGTTCAGGGCCTCAAATTGGGTAGACCTCCATCTACCATTCATTTAAACTAAATCATACATGTCTATATTGGTCCTTTGGAAGGAAAAGGAGTAAAGATGGATCTTATCCATGAAGTCAGGATATCAGAAGTAAAGAATCAATTGATTCATGAATAACTAGAATATCAAAATGAAGAGTCATACAAACATATTTGGAAAGATTAAAACTATTACTTCTTGCCCTTTAAAAATAATTCAGTTAGAAAAGTACATCATAAGTTGTCATGTCCAAAACGAGCTTTACAACGTCAGTGCGGGGGGGGGGGGGGGGGGGTGGGGGGGGGGGAGCAGAAGGATTGGGATTGGGGGGGAGGGGGGAGGCTGGGAAGGGATGTGAAGGGTAAACCAAAGGAGGAGGCTGCAATACTTGGTAAGAAATGTACGCATTATCCTGCCCATGTAATTGTAACCCCTCTGTACAGTATGTTCACAAATAAAATTAAATTAAATAAAAAAAAAGTACATCATATATAGATATGTGTAACTACTAAAATATCGAGTACTCTAAGTCTGCTCCACTAGTGTCAAGTTGTAGCAAATTAATTTTTAGTCTCAAACTGACAGAAAGTAGTTGTAGATAGGGTCTGTATTATTGAAATCATTCATTAGGCTCCATATACCCACATATCTCCTCCACCAACCAATAAAACACACCTTGAGTTCCCATCATACATGGTACCAACCTCTTGTCCTATTTGTTCTCAGAATATCATGGTTACATTGAGCTTGGAAGGAGACCAATGGGTATATGCCCCCAAAAGTAGATAGAGGACTTATAATCAAATGGGGAGTCAGGCACCAGTGGCTCACACCTGCAATCCTGGCTACTCAAGAAGCTGAGGTCTGAGAACAGTGATTAAAACCCAGCCCCAGAAAGAAAATCCATGAGACTCTTGTCTCCAATTAATTACCAAAAGGCTGGAAGCAGAGCTGTAGCTCAAGTGGTAGAGAGTGACAGCCCTGAGCACAAAAGCTCAGGGGACAGTACCCAGGCCCTGAATTCAAGCCCCAGGACTGGTACCCCTCCCTTCCCGCCATACACACATGGTTTGCTGTATTTCTGGTAAATCAAACATATACTAATGAGCAAAATAATCTCAAAGTGTTTACACACATCCACACTCTCAAATTACAAGGAGACTCAGTTAAATAAATAACCTAACACGGAAATGCAGTCTTGTGAGTAAATCTGAAGCTATAGTGTAACAGTGGGTCAAACATCTGCCACAGTCAGTATCCTTCATTTCCCAGTGGCTATTTGGCTGTCAAAGAAGGATGATTAAGGAATTCTAAGTCTAGGCCAGAGTTTCTCAACAACACCATTTACTACTCTTTGGAGCAGGAAAATTCTTCATTGTAGGGTATTTCCTGGGCATTTATGGGTAATTTAGCATCACTCCTAATCCACTAGAGTTACCTGTAGCACCCTCATCCCAGCTAGAACAACCAAAAGATGTCTCTGAATGTTATCAAAGGTGGCCTGGGAGGCAAAGACTCTCTAATTGAGATCCACTGATCTAACCAGTACCAGGTCCTTTAATCTACAAGAATGACAGAACAAGACTTTTGACCTGCAGCCATCTCCACATTATATAACCAAAACTAAAAACTAACAAATGCATTCTTAGTAAGCTATTATTTGTTTTTCTTTCAATCTGTTTCCATTAGTAACTATCTGAGGGCATCAGCGTCCTGAAAAGTCACTTGCCAACTCCAGTGCCCCTACTGAGACAGACTCAGAGACACACTTTGTTCTTTGGCCCAACAAGACAAATTATCAGGAGGAAAGTTCTTAAGTCAGAGTCCTCACTGAAGTATTCTCACTCACTGCAAAGACTGACGCACACCTTGCTCTCATAGACAAGGAGTTTCCACTGAAACAAGTTGTTCTGCATACTTGTTAAGGTTGAAGCTAGGGTAACCTCCCAGTTTCACTTTGACACTAAATTAATTTCACTGAAGGCTTAGGCCAAATACTGATTTTCCTTCAATGTTTTATACACAACAGCTCCTGAAAGAGGTCCCAGGCTATCTTTGTACGTGGCACCCTTGAAATTAGTACTCAACAAACATGTTTCACCTAGTCAATAGTTTACTCAAGTAAATAGAAGCTGCAGTTTCAAAAACAATTTGGTTTTAGAAGGAAGTACATTCAAGTCCCATTAGCACCAACTTAAGAAAAAAGACTTTCAAATTTTCTTTGCCCAGATCTTCCTAATATAATAATTAGGAAAAACTAAAGAAATACATTCATTTCTTTTTATTTCTTATGGATATTAAGCAGAACTTCCCATACTGCAGTAAAAAAAAAAAATATGCCCAAAATAAAACTTATGATTTCAACTACCTTTGGGCTAATCAATGTATCATTGCTATGGAGTTAGAAAAGCATTCAACAGAAGTAGATGCAGGTGAGTTTGAAACAGGTTATGATTTTTTAAATATATATATACTGTTTAGACTTTTAAAAACTAATACTACCTAAGATTTTACATAGTACTATTAGAAAACAATGTTTACTATCAAAAATATGTAGGTAAGTATGTCTGTTCATGGGAAAATGAACATTTTTAAGATCTTCTAGACAATTTTTAATTACTACTAAAACTATAGCACAAGGATATTAACCACATTAAATAAATCTTTGTTTAAGTGGTAAATAGTGCCTTTTCTATTTCCATTATTTCTGCAGTTAAAATATATATTTCCTCATAGTAAAATGTTAATTGGGTTTAAGAGCTCTGATAAGGAAGTAGTCAGTCATTATTACAAATTTAAATAACTTTCCTGTCATCTTTTACCTAGAACATATCTTTTCACTGATTTCCTGGGAGCTAATTAGATTTATCAGACAACCTCTCCTAAGAGTTTTATACCAGATTGCCTGATTCCATAAGTTCACAACTGAACACCATTTTCCTCTAAAGTTCAACAGTATACTTGTAAACTGGTTTTTTTTTAATTAAAAAAAAAAAAGACAACCAATAACTTGACAAAGTCATGGGCATAGTGTAGTTTCCAGGCCACTGTTGCCTTCCAAATATCAACCACTATACACATGATCCTACTATTAACAATTATGTCTTAATTCCAAAAACATTTTTAACTATTTTGAAAGAATTATGTTCCTTCTATGAACTATAATAATTGTCTCTGAATTTACTTTATATGTATAATGAATCTCCCTCCCTCACCATTAGCAACCAAATACAACTACGTTGGAAACTGTTAAACTGTAAAAAACACTTCGGTTGGTACAGAGATTTACAGCAAGCCCATAACATGAGATCGACTGCAGATAGCTTCTCATTCACAGTCCCCAAGTCATTTTGTTAAAACAGTCATCTATTTTGGAATGAGAACAGAGAGAGGCGCTGAGAGGAATGATCTTCCAGCAATCACAAAAACTCTCTGCAATTATTTTCACTTAAGCTCCATGCCCTAAGTTTAAATATATACATCTTTTAAAAAAAACAAAAACAAACAAAAAAACACTGAGACTTACTTGATGGTGACTCGATTTGATAAATCCTGTAGATCCCCCGGGTGGAAAAGCTGAGCTTCTTTCAGACCAATCTGTTCACAAGCTTTCAAAAAAACGTTTATATTATCCTGCGAAGAGAATTGGAAAGTGATTGCTTAGCCGAGCTGGCTCTCAGACAGAGGTTACAAATTTTTATGATAGAACTTCCCAGCTTCAAAGTCCAATTGCACTCAGCCAAAGAGGCAGCAAGGAGACCAATTCATATGTATATTGGCAAAAAAAAAAAAAACATAAATCCGTGAGTTCATTTAGCCTTTCAGTCTTCCGGAGCATAAAAAGTCCTGCTACGTTGTGCCCAAGCATACGCCGTTTCTGTGATCTTTGTGATCCTGGGGCACGTTAAACATTACCTGGTATAGGACAAGTGCCTAGCCACTGAGCAGCAATCTACACTTTGATGTCAGCTCTGCTCTGCAAACAAACGCCCTCTTCTCAGCTTCGAACGACAAGCCTCACCTCTCTCCTCTTTAAAAATAACTCCAGCTACTGACACTCACCCACCCAGAAACTGTTGGCAAGGAAGAAATAAGAGGAGGAACATTCTGTTTCTATGATTACAAATTACAAGAACGAGTGTGGAATACCACACCTGGAATCTGGGTTTGGTTGCTGAGCCAGCTCTTGACAGGCAAGGGACACCATTGTACAGGACCCAGGAGAAGCCTGCTGCTCATTGGCTCCACCACAGGGTTTAGGAATGGCGCTTTCCTTCTCTGCACCTGTCTCAGAAGCTGCCTCCAAAAAAAAAAAAAGAAAGAAAGAAAAAGAAAATCTATCTTTCACCTCCGAGGTTGCCCGCATATCTAATTTCAAAACCCAAATCCTCCATTCACAAGCCAATGATTTTCATTAACATAAACGGCTGTGCACACAGGAACCACAGTATATCTGTTTTACAGTCAGCTGCTTCTCAACTACACACATTTGTTGCCAGAATTAGCTTAGGCTTCATCTTTCCTACTCTTAAAAAAGGAAGCACTTGGTGTGACTGAGTTCGTGTGAATCTATGTGGGCTCTCTGCATTGGCTTTGCTGGGGCCCTGGGGAAGGGAATTGCCTTGCATGCCCACACACGCTGGTCCACATAAGCATGCTGGCAACACCAGCAATGTGCCCAGGAGCCTCCTTGAAGCACCCCTTCTCCCCCCACCCCCAACACCTCCTGGTAGCTCACTTTTACAAACCAGTTACTCTTTCCGATGCTAAGAAACTCATTCCCATAGGAAGACAAGTCAGGATGCTATAGCCAAGGACAACAAGAAGGCTAGGTATAGCTGTGTACACCTGTGATCCCTGCTGTGCTGAAGGCATAGCCAGCAGGCCTGCTATCCCAGGCCAAATGATGCAAAAATGCAAGACCACATCCAGAATATCACACACACAAAAAAAGGGCTAGAAGTGTATCTCGTCATAAGAGTACCCGCCTAGTTAGCTGGAAATCTGAAGTTCAAACATTAATATAGGCCCCCCCCAAAAAAAAGGAATAAAAAGAAGAAGCAAGTCCAGTTACTTAGGTTGCTTGGGACTAAGTAGATTTAAGAAGAGAAAAGCAACACTGATTGACAGGAAAGGAAGAGCAAGAAACCAAACAAACCAACAATAGCCAAAACCCTCCTTGTCCAGGTCTGAGGTGTCTCCAGTGTGCTATCATGAAAGGCAACGAGAACGAGTGAGCAATCTATTCTAATGAGGAAAGAAATGATTCAAAAGTTGGATAGCTCAATGAGAAGCATCTAATGCAACTTTCCTTTTATATAGAATATTGGGAACTAAATAGTTGCCAAAAAAATCCTAGAAGAATTACAATTCATGAGCGTAGACTCACGAATTCTAAAAATGGTACTGCCTGCAATTATCTCATAATAAAACCTGGTTTGTTACTTTCTGTTGTTGTTATTGCCAGTTCTAGGACTTGAACTGGGAGCTGTCCCTTGAGCCACTTTGTGCTCAAGGATAGCATTCTACCACTTGGGCCACAGTGCCACTTCCAGCTTTTTCTGGAGAGAGGAATCTCACGGGAACTTTCCTGCCCAGGCTGGCTTCAAACAGAAATCCTCAGATCTCAGCCACCTGAGTAGCTAGGATTAAAGTCATGAGCCACTTGCACCCAGCTAAAACCTGGTTCGTAGTCCTAGTTACTCAAGAAAATGAGATCTGAGAATCATGATTCAAAGCCAGCCCAGACAGACAAATCTGTGAGATTCTTATCTCCAATTAATCAGCAAAAAAGCCAGAAGTGGGGTGTGGCTGAAGTGGTAGAGCACCAGTTAGTGAGTGAAAAAGCCAACTAAGAACATAGGCCCTGAGTATTGATCCGATACCCAGTATTAGTACAAAATGAAAAATTAATGGTTCTAAAGCTGATCCTCTGAAGAGCAGACAAGAATAAATGGTTCTGTATACTAGTATTCCAAACCCTATCAAAAGCAAATTTCACATCAAAAAAATAAAATAAATAAACTATTAGAAGTCTTTCCATCAACTTAGTTTGGCTCTGAGTGTTTAAAGTGTTCTAAACATTAGGCTGAAGCAGAGCTCAATGGCAGAGCAGTTTCCCCAGCACATGCAAGGCCCTGGGTCCATTCCCAAACACCACCAAAACAGATCATAAAATACTAAAATAAACTTAAAGCCAGATAGCAGTGACTTATGCCTGTGATCCTAGCAACTCACAAGGCTGAGAACTGAGGATCATGGTTTGAAACCAGCTTGGACAAGAAAGCCCATGAAACTGTATAACCACCAAAAACCGGGGGGGGGGGGGGGGGGGGGGGGGGGGGGGGGGGAAGGGAGCTTAAGTGGTAGAACTAGCCTTGGACAAAACAACTCAAGGATAGTGCTCAGGTCCTAAATTTAAGCCCCAAGACTGACGTGTGTATGCACACATGCTGTCTCACACAGACACAGACACAGACACAGACACACACACACACACAATTCAAATGTATAAAACTAAGAGTAAAAACAATTCTTCATGTATTTTGTAAAAACATAACAGCATTCATTTGTTTAGCAATGTGTCCAGGTTGATAAGGACAAGAATTTCAAGAGAAACCACTCAAAATCTAAAATGACTTTACAACACCAGAGACAAATTTCAGGAAAAGAAATTCCTAGTAACTCATACGGTTACATTTTAGTTTTAGTACATGGAAAATCAGAAATGGGATATACTAAAATCTAAAATCAGAACTATAACCTACATCATGCTTAGTGAAATTGAGCCCATATGGTAATTGTTTGTTTTGTTTTGTTTTTTCCAATTTCAAGAACCTAGCACAATGGAGGGGGTAAACAATGGAGGGGGTAACAATGTTCAAGAGGAAGTGTACTCATAACCTCACTCATGTAACTGTGACCCTCTGTATAGTAGCTTTACAATAAAAAAATAAAATAAAAAAAAAAAAAAAAAAAAAAAGAACCTAGCAGAGAGCTGCCTTAAGGCATATTCAGAAATGATCATTTTCATGTCTGTTAAAACATAGTAAAAAAAGCATTTGGTCCTCACTTAGAATCATTTTCACTTAAAACATCAAAAATAACACTGAAGGACAAAATGAAACAAATTTTATCTAATGGACTAGTAACCAGCACTCTACATTAGCTCTGCCACCAACCCAGTGTGTAGCACTGGTCCATAGCCTTTGTGACACCATTTTCCTCAGTACAATGAGTGGATCTATAATCCATAACCAAGGATCATGGGGTCTCTAAGGCAAGGGAAGCCCAGTACTCACTGAAAAAATCTAGCACACAAGCTGGGCCCTGGTGACTCATACCTGTGGCTCACACCTGTAATCATAGGTACTCAGGAGGCTGAGATCTGAGGCTCATGGTTCAAAGCCAGCCCGGGCAGGAAAGTCTGTGAGACTCATCTCCAATTAACCACTAGAAAACTGGAAGTGGCACTATGGCTCAAGTGGTAGAGTGCTGGCCTTGAGCTAAACAGCACAGGAACAACAGCACCCAGGCCCAGAGTTTAAGCCCCACAATCAAACAAAACAAAATCTAGCACATAAATATTCCATAACCCAACTTCCATAAAACATTTATGTCAAAAAGAAAACTGCTTTAAACATGAGATCCTTATACTTTCAGGACCAAAAATGCCATACAACAATGAACTCCTAAAGGTATCCAATATTTCCTTTCAATTTAGAATGCTTCTTAGACTGAATAAAGGTAGGCACTTCCTATACAGAAGAAGTGCCTAGCATGAAATTTTCATTCCTTCTATCTTCTTCTCCACCCTGATCAGGACCAGCAGTACTTACAAATGAGATAAGATGAGGAAGCCCCAAAGATTCCCAGGTTTGTATTGGTTCAAGGCAGTTATCTACTGCTATACAGAAAATTATCACCAAACGTAGCTGATTATGACAATAGACATTTAGAACTTCCCATAGTTTGGAGTATGGAAGTTTTGCTATTGACAGAAGCTTCTGTGCTTTTTATCAAATGGACATCTCCATGATACTGCCTGAGAGGGGCAAGTACCCTGGAAAGGATAAAACAGAAGTTACAATGTTGTGCGTCCTAGCTTTTGAAGTTACATTCCATCATTTCTTCAATATTCTTTTATTTTTGCAATTGTTTCCGAATTTTCTTAAAATGTGTGTTTGTAGCTGTACAAAGGGGCTTTGATTCCACATTTCAATTGATGACTGCCATGCATCTTGCTCAGTGTCATTTGTTAGCCTCTTCATAGAAGGCTACACAAATGACAATCATTGGGGTTGTACTTGAGGATGAACTACTATATTTCTCTGGACCCCAATAACTCATGTCTTGTCTACATGCAAAATTTATGAATGCTAAGGTCCCTGAAACTCTCATTCTGTTACAAAGTGACATCGAAGTCCAGAACTTCATCATCTAAGTCAGATTGAGGAGTATATGAGTTTCCTCAGGTATAATTCTGTAAGTATAGGCCTTGACTACAACCTGATAGCAGGGAAATAAAAATTATTTACTTACCCTTCTACTCGCATCCAATTATGCTGGAATGGATAGATCATAATCACAAACCAGGTCAAATTGTGGGTAAAGGAAAGACACAGGAGTCACAT